TCCCGTGTGCTTGGCCATCTGCATCTGATGATGCGCCAGAGAGTTCGCCTCTTGAGCCAGGGTGGTCATGGCTGCACGATCCTCGGCAGACATCCTCTGAAAAAAGGGTTCTGCTTTCTCCCAGAGAATTTGCTGGTACGCTCCCATACAAGCCCCATAGTTCGCCATGCGGGCCAGTAAGAGGGCACCGGAGTAAAGCTTCCTGCCCACTGCGTCGAATCTCTTCCCCTCACGGTCGGACGGCGCCGACGACTGTCTTCCGAACCCCTGAGCCGCTTTCACGACCACCGAGTTAGGGTCGGGATGGTGTTTCAGCCACTCCAAGCCCTCATCGTCCGTTCTGTACCAAGATTCAATTTTCTTGGAGGTTGGAGGGATGGAGGAGGGGGTCTTCCAGGAGCCCTGGATCACTTCAAGGAGATAGGGAAGGAAGGGTAGAAGAGGAGCGGGTGGGGACTCCGCTTGCACCCTTTTAAACACTGGGTCCAGCACTGCCTTGGAAGTTTGCTTGACCTCCAGGCTTAGAGCATCAGCCATGCGAGCCATTTGATCCGCAAAGGCTCGGACATTGTCAGTGGGAGATGGAGGGTCAGCCTCATAGGCGTCGTGGGTAGGTGATCTCTCGATCCCGAGGGACAGCACCGATCCTGAGTGTACCGATCCCGGTAACTCGCCATCTTCCTCTTCATCGTCAGCAGCCAGGGATCGGGGAGGAGGGGATGAAGAGACATCCCGACTCGGAAGCTGCAGAGGAGCCACTGGGGGAGCTTTTGAGGCCGAGGCCTGAATGGCACGGGCCAGTCTCATAGTTTGCCTGCCCCTCTCCGGAGTCTCCAGCACTGGAGAAGTCTCCTGTCTGGCTGTCACAGTAGTCAAAGTCGTGACCGACGGGAAGAGCTCCTGTCTGGCTGTCACATGTCGAGTTGGTGCCTCGATCACCGTGTCCACCGAGATCACCAGGGACTCGGGCTGCTCCGAAGGCTGCTCCGGCAAAGGCTGCGGCCCCTGAACAGGCTGTGGAGCCAGCTGGGGTTCAGCAGGCTGCGACGGAGATGACCTCGCCGACGAGGTGGCCGAGGAGGCAGTGGTTTGCTTTCGGGAAGAAGAAGAAGATGAGGATGGAGGCGGCATCATCTTCTTCTTCTTTGCCGGCGGCTGAGCAGACTTTGACACCGACTTGCCCGGGGTGGGCGGGACGGAGGATGAGGTGGAAGCGCGCCAAGACTCTTCTTGAGACCGGCGAAAGGCAATGCGAACCGCCGTGGAAGATGGCGGAGTCGCCGACGTCGACCTCGTGGACCTGATCGATCTCACCGTCGCCACCGAGCTGGTCGACGAGTGTCGGATGCGTACGGTCTCAGTAGTGACCGTGCATGGAGCCTTCTGTTTCGTAGGCTTTGCAGTCTTAGAAGCTGCCGACACTGAGGCCTTCGAGGTCGTTGACATAGCTGCTCTCGGCCTTTTCTGTGCGGCCTTCTTCGCCCTTGTTTGGCGAGGCTCGGCCTCCGTCGAGGGATCGACAGATGTTGTTGTCGATGCCTTCGACGTCGAAGCTGATGTCGAAGGCCTGGATACCGCGGCTGACGTCGACACCGATGTCGAAGTTGAAGGTACCGGAGCCAACGTCTGCTGGTACAGAAGGTATCGAAGCCGATGGACCCGGTTCTTACGGGACTGTGCCGTCAATGATTGACAATGACGACACGAGGAGGTGATATGTGCCTCTCCGAGACACAAGAGGCAAAGAGCGTGCTTGTCCGAATCAGGGATCTTCCTCGGACAATTCGCGCATCTTTTGAAGCGAGTTGTTGACATAATACAGTCAAACAACTTGAGTAGAACTCTAAGTAAAACTCTAAGGATCACTATCCAACACAATCCAACACTAGAAGTACCGAAGCGAGCCGTGCGGCGGAAAAAAAGGAATTGGATCGGTGTGCGCGGGGCGCCCTTTTATCCCCTGCCGGGGCTGGGTGGGGTTACCGCCAAAACTTCAAAAGTTTTAAAATGAAGAAGTTTCCGTTGGAGCCCGTGCAGGCGCAGTCTCTCCACAAGTGTGCATTCGCAGAGACCACGAAGAAAAATGTAATTTTTCTGCTTCTTGGCAGGGAATTGGACTGGATGGCCAGCGAGGTCTCTTCCAACTCTATAATTCCATAATTCTATGAACTACTGTAGAGAAGTGTTTATTATAAAGGGTTTATTGTACTGTGTTTAAACTGTATTTATGTTTTACATGCGNAATTATGATTTAATGCTAAACTTGGCAGATCAGTCTCTGTGCATTTTATTCCTCCTGAACTTGCTACTTTTCAAGTTTGCAATGACAAGAATAGAGCTCTAGCTGATTCATCTCTAGAGACAATTTCTCCCCCACAAACTTGATTTTACTCCCTAACGAACTCCTTGGGCGACAGTGCCAGTTTCCAAATACCTGTCCAATGCCGAGCAATGGTGCTTGCTTTGTAAGGTCCAGCAAGTGTAGTGATCTGTAGGGCATATTCACTGCCATTTAGAAGCTTCTCAAAGCGGTAAGTGGTGGCACTTTTGGGGATGGTTACATTCTTGACAGCTGTCTGGGATTTTATATGGTAGAGAACTAATTGGTAAGCATCCTTTCCACCGGTCGCTTCACTCCAGGATGCCAGTAGCACTGAAGGACTGTCATGGCTCAAGACCACATTCCGCACAGGTCCAGGAACTAAAACAAGATGTAAGATTGAAACACAGAGTAGCCATTGAATAATGCCATGTCGTACTTAGTATTTCAGATTCTTTACCCATTGCCCTCATATCCTAATCAGACTTCCTTCACTAGATTACTGTGCATTTCAGGAGACTGTTTGTTGTTCCTGTTCCAGGTGATGTGATCTATATGTCTATAACAATTAGATATAAGTTGTATTGCTAATTTCAGTGTCTATAAACTGAGATTTGTTTGGCCTAGTTATCCATTAGAGCTCATTCCCATAGGTTTTAATACCATCTAGGACTTTAAGATCATCCGGGGAGGCCCTGCTCTCGATCCCGCCTTTCTCGCAGATGCGTTTGGTGGAGACGAGAGACAGGGCCTTCTCAGTGGTGGCCCCTTAGCTATAGAACGCCCATCCCAGGGATATAAGATTGGCTCCTTCCCTTCTAACATTCCACAAAATGGTTAAGACCTGGCTCTTCGAGCAAGCTTTTACTACTTGAGCATAATTAGATGAAAACGAATATATGGAACAACCTATTTATTTATTTATTTATTTACTGTATTTGTATACCGCCTTTCTCAGCCTATCAGCGACTAAAGGCGGTTTCCAACAAAACAGTATACATAGTATCATAATACAATTTAAAACATTAAAATTACATAAATCACAACAACAATAAAAACAACATCATTGGTGTCTCCTTATTGTCAAGCATTGTCCAGTTCCAACTATGTCATTGGACAACGATTTTAGTAATGATATGCCAAAGATTCTGTTTTTATAGACATTGTTTCATTTTAAATGTTAAATTATCTTAATAATTGTTTTAACTGTATTTTGATCATTGTTATGGCATCGAATTGCTGCCGACTGTGAACTGCTAATCCATTTCCAAATCATTTTATGCAGGTTGTATCTTAGCTTATTCAAACAGTACAGGTTGAGCATCCATTATCCAGAATTCCAAAATCCAAAGTATTTCACAACCTCAAATCATCTACATGGATGGCTGGGATAATGACACTTGATTTCTGGTGGCTTCATATACACAAGCTTTGTGCCATGCACAAATTATTTTTAAAAATTGTACAATTACCTTCAGACTATGTGTATAAGATGTAAATGAGACCTAAATGACTTGCATGTTCAGACTTGGATTCCATTTCCAAAGTATCTCATTATGTACATGTATGCAAATATAGACATTTCAAAATCCAAATAAATAAATAAATCTAAATTACTACTGGTCACATGCATTTTAGATAACAGATACTCAATCTGTATTAGGAGGGTAGTATGAAATGAAGATGCATATGAGAAAGTGCATGACTAAGTAAATGTACTAAAAAAAAACTCACTAAGTTTAGTCCTAGAATGGTGTCTGCAACCCTAAAGCTTCAACCCTAAAGCAGTCATTCATTATGCAAATGTCATAATTTTCCAGGTGAAGGTAAAGTATTAATAGATAAATAAATGTGTTCCTTTTGTATTTCAAAGGTACTTTCACAAGACCAATATGACTCAAATTCATTCCTGCAGCAGCTTGACCAAACTCAGTGAATCAAGTTCGCCCAGCTTCTCAATGTCATGTGTGCTAAAAATAGGTTTTGTGAAAAAGTATAAATGGAGTGGGTTTCTTTTGGTAAGCGTCTGCACATTTTTGAGATTTAAAGAATTCTTCATAATTCTGAAAACAAGTTGCTGGGAACAGAACCACATATATTACTGACAGTGCCAGCAGAAAACTTTAGGCTGTTTCTGTAATTAGTAGTTCCTGCCGTTCCAGTGTCCACAAAGATCTTATGAAAGAGTTGCAGACAATACATACTGCATTGTTACATCAGGAACAGTCTGCCATGGAACAAAATTGCTGCCAATACCCTGCAAAAGTCACTCTAATGAGCAAACAAACAATTACATTGGTCTTCTGCACCAGTCATGTGGATGAGACGTACTTCAGTGCAACTTTGTATATTTAAGGGTACAATAATGGAAATGGAAATAGCAAGCCAGAGAATTATGAAAAAAAAATATATCAAGCTGTATTTTATTTTGTGCAAACTGGAACTGCCATGACTCAATGTAAGGTATCCCAGGATCTGTAGTTTGGTGAGGCCCTTTTAAAACTAAATTTCAATAATTCCAGAGCATTGAACCTTGGCAGTAAAAGTGGTGTCGAACTGCATTAATACTCCGGGTGGTTCAATGGGACTTTTCAGCTGGAAAATATTTAAGAATGAGCATTTTCAGACCAGACTAGGAGGATAATGCTGTATCTACAAACACACAAGACATGCTGTTTTTGACTATCAGCTTTGCATGTTTCTGGAATTAAAGGGAGAAAATAAGAGTGAATACAGGAATAACTGCCTGCCCCCACCCATCCACATACACAGAAATAGCATCTGGAAGCTGTGAAGCAATGAGTATAGTATTGCATAAATGATGTGCCAGAAGCACATTTTATTGGCCCAAAATTGCATGTGCAAGCAGGAAAAAAGTAATGGTGCTGCATTTGTGCTAAATGCTAGAGGCAGAACCACAGAAACACCATGTTATTTTTAGCTTAACTCAGCTCAAACAGCTCAGTTTACAAGAGGCAGTATAAAACCTCCTTTCATCCAAATTCCAAATCAGAATTAAGATAACTTTATGCATGACATAAATGTCAGGTTTTGCATTATGAAGTATGTTTCCAGAACATTTGCAAAACCAAGAACAGAACAAAGGCACCCAGGAACTTGCCTGCTATATCTTTTTAGGCTGTGGAAAGAATACAAATGGCAGAAGAAAGCAGATGAGAGCAGGATAATTTAATTGCTCTGTTGTTGTTTCCATTCAGTGGCTGCAGTTAGCTCTGGCACTCTAATGGGTTTTTGGTTTTTATACTATCAATGGCTGTATGAGGTTTCCACCTGGTACATAAAGCATTATGCCTGAACAATGGTTTGGATGCTTCAATTACTCCTAGTTCCTATTGGAAAAAGGCTTTATGTATCTGCAGAAGAAAGACTTCTCTGTGTGACACCATGACTTCAAAATGGCTTATGGGATGCCTGTGGTGCCATCTCTATTTTTTGGGAGGACAGGTCAAAACAGGTTTAAATGCCCAGGTATATTAACTGTATTTCATTTTAGCTGGCTGCATAATAATATATCTCATTTACTACACTGTTGTTTAAAGTCTTATTCTGTTGTACTAATGTAATAAATGTATGATTGGTCACATAAACCATAATGTAATCTGACTATTCTACACACATATATACTCCATCCTAGAAACACCTTTTTTGAAAGGTGCATTTTATATAAAAATCAAATCACAGATTAGTAAATCTGTGTTGAATTCTAAGTGTGAAAATGAGAGTGAATGTCTTTTACAAATAATCCAAATGCCAACAAACTATGTATTCAATATTGTGCAAGATAGCTATATTTATCTCTCGCTTAATCCCTTTCACTTACCTGTCCTCCCAGTGACTCTGTGACTGGAATTTTGTGTGCAAATTAGCAACGCAGTGACTTCAATGTTGTATTGTGTCCCAGGAAGCAAGCCCTCAAAGAGAAAGCTGGTGGCATTAAGCCCAGCCGATCCATTTTGCAACACTGTGCTTGTGTCAAATTTGTATAGAGCAAGTGAGATGTTCTGGACACCTCTTGGGAGTTTTTCCCAGGTCAGAAAAAGGGAGTTGGAGCATCCCTGGTTGCTGACACTCACGTTCAGAAGGTGGCCTGCAGAAAACAAATAACAAAGTGTTCACTCTTCGCCAGTGTATGCCACCCCAGAAGTTTGTTCTCTGCCTGACATAAACTATCCTCAACCATACTGGCTAGGGCTGTTTGATGTTGAAGGGCTAAATCCTTTGGAAATCCAAAGGTTTTCAGCTTGCAATCTACTTTAGTGATTCCTAAACTCAAGTCTTCTGGGTGTTTTGGTCTTTAACTCGTAGGAGCCTCAGCTGCCTTGGCCAATGATGAGGGATTCTGGGAGCTGAAGTACAAAACAACTGGAAGACCAGCGTTTGGGAAACACTGATCTAGACCAGGCCTGCACAACTGTGTCCCTCCAGCTGTTTGGGACTCCAGCTAGCTAGCTTTTCCAATAGTCAGGAATTTGGGGAGCTGAAGTCCAAAACACCTGCAGGTTGTGTAAGTATTTTTCTTCTTAAAGGATGAATACCTTTGAGAAATCCCACAAGGACATCAATGACACCTACAAACAACATCCACTTCCCGATCAACCTGAACCTGTCTTTTCAGTTGGTTACCTTCTAGATCCTATTGTGCAACCATGTCATAGAAATATATATACCACCTCATACCAGAAACACATTATATACATCCTGAATACAGGAAAAACAATAAAAACAAAAAATCTATCAAGCTTTGTAATATCTAGAATTTTTCCCCTCTCTGTCCATGAATATCTGTTAATTGGGAATTACACTTCATGCATTTGAAGAAGTAAATTCTAGTCAACGATAATTGATGCCACAATACAACTATTAGCCTTGATTGATCTGTAAGACACTTCTTCTTCTCTAGTAAGCTTTGCTAAGCAGGAGGGGAAATGTGTGAATATTTTGAATGTTTCATAATTAGCAGATCTCATTCTGTGTTCTTACACATGGTAGAGAAATAGCATTAAGACTAAAACCATAATATTTTCAAATGATTTATAAATATTTCCCTCTGAAAACAAAGGTCTTTTAAATGTATCATTTATATATTAGAAATATATCTAATATTCTGTTTGCTTGCAAAAGCTGTTTTCAATCTGTGCAGCTTTATCTAAGATATTTACATATGGTCATTGCTAACACATTCCTGTTGGCTTGTGTTGAACTATTCTACTTGGCAACTCTGCAGACTGAAACTAATGTTTGCGTAAACATGTAGCCATGTTAATTCATAAAACTTCCAAACAACTGTCAGAACTTTTGCAGTCCCTGACCCAACAGAACATGGCCTCACTTGGTAATAGGGAAGAAAGAGAGAAACCTTCTGCATCAATCCGGGAAAAATTCCCCTTCACAATAAATGGGCATTTGTTTAATATTTAATGCATTTCTACATCAATTTTAGTTGTAGAGATATCACATATGTTCGAAATACTCATTGTGCAACATTTTGTATCCAGATGTAATTAATAAGTGCTTATCCTGTTTATAGGAACAACACTGCTTGAAAAATGTTCCTAAAAATGTGCAGTCCACATTAATCAAGAGAATTATCTTTTCAAGATGTAACTAATCCTTTGTTTCTAATAATATACTATAAAGACTTAACAATCTTTTGAGGCTTATCAAATTTGTTAAGAGACTTGAGTTATTACAAATTGGACCGTTAGTCACTTCTTTTACCACCTTATCACACTGTGGCATTTTGGTCCCTTACAACACTTTGAGGATAGGACTTGCTGAGCACCATCACATGATGCTCAGCAGGCTGTGCCCCATTTATTCTCAAAGTGCAGAGGAAGTGTCACAAATGCTTCCTTGGCCACGATGCCTTGGTGTTTTTCAGCCATTTTCTCCATCTGATGGGGAAAATGGCAACACACATTTCCAACCTTTCCCCTATCTGATGGGGATAGGGACAGTGTCCCAATGCACCTTGTCATATTCTGCCCCCCCCCCATCTGCTGGGGGAAGGAGAGAGGGTGCACAGAGCGCCCCGAGGCATCCCGCAAAACTTCCAGCAAAATAGTACAGCGTGGAGGAATGTGTGAAGAGGTCTTTTGTCTGTTTTGTATACTTATTCATTCATCAGGGTGGGAGAACCTTCCCAGGATTTCTTGGGGATGGCTGTTAGAGTGATCTTTCCCTAAATAACAATAATAAATAATAGTAAACTTTATTTATACCCTGCTACCATCTCCCCAAAGGGGACTTGGGGTGGCTAACATGAGGCCTAACCCAAGAATTACAATGCAGCAAAGTAAAATACAGCAAGCAAACAATAAGCATCAAAGTAAAATGCAAACAATAACAAATATACAATAAACAATGCAAAATAAATGATAGGGGAATAAAACCAGAGTGGGCAGGCAAAATGCACAGAATAAAATGGATAAAACCGTGGGTGAGAGAAACAAATGGAGTAGTGTGTGTCTGAGAGGAGAATCGTGTTTGGAACCCGTCATTCCAAATTTTGCCATTGCCATGGTTTCTGCCATTGTAGTTGCCACTGAAATTTGATGTACTGCACTGGCATTAATTACTCTCACTCAAAACCAATATGGGATTGGTTTTCTTTCCTTTGCTTGGGACCTCCACCCACTCTGTAGCCAAGACCAGCCAAGAATGATATCAATACCAAAGCACCACCTGCTTGCTTTGAGGTCAAAATGAAAATCCCAAATATTTGATCAGTGGTGAGGGGAAAGCCTGATCAACCTCCTTGTTGCTGATATCACGACTGGACACCTCATCCTGACCTCAGAGGAAGTGACTTTACAAGCTGGACTCTGCTGAAAAAATGCTTGGCAGCAAAAACAGTGATGATTGGTGCGTCAACAACCTTGAGAAAAAAGATTCAATTTATTTTGCCATTCTGCAGATTTTCTAAAAAATGGAAATGCTTGCCACCCACGAATCTGTCCTGACTATTTCCTGATACCACCCCAAACCAGATGGACACACTATAAAACTATTTTTCCCCAAAATATGCTGAGTAAGAAGTAAATTTTTAAATACATGGAAGCCTAAAAGAAGCACTTTCACTGTTAAAACAGCTGTATGATAGCTGATAGGTGTTCCTACAGCACTGCAACAGAGGTGCATACTAATTTTTTAAAATTTGTTTTGGTGTAGACCACCCTCAACTCTTCCTTGGGTCTGTTTCTTAGGAAATTATTCTGATTTCAAAAATGTTTGCACCCATGACAAATTTAACAATACACCTTCAAAGTGATTATTTCAATAGTGTTTTAGTTTTTTTCTGTCTCGGAACTTCCAGGGGAGAGAATAAGAAAACTTACTTTTTTTGTCAGACACACCTTCTGGATTCCTTTGCCAATCTGTTTGGTTGCATCTGTCATCCTGCAAAGTTGAAACAAATAAATTCAAGGAGTATTTATGTCTTCTGTTCCCACTTGCCAATTGCCTTGTTTGGTTATTGACAGAGCATGCTGGGACCTTGTTTGGTTATTGATAGGACCCAGTGGCTGCTGGGTTGGACCACTTTCTGTTCCTTTCCATCAGCAAGCAAAAACTTTTTATTTAGATTTTGGCTGTTAATGGTTGCAGAACCATTAAAAACTATTATGGATTAATTGTGATGTTGTCATTTTAATCTCATCGCTAAATATTTTGATATTGTTTCAAATTACTGCTGTTTTAAAAAGAATAAAATCATGTTTGCCCGACCTTTAAATGTGTTATAATTTTGGGTGAGGGGATATTAGATATGTAGATGGATAGACACTTCCTGATTGAACACAGGAAGTTTTTTTAATAGCTTCATGGCTTTCATTAGTACTGTGATGTTAAATCAGGTCAGGAGAAAGGTACTGCAAAGAATTGCCAAGTTGCATGCACTTTTGCATGAGAGTTCTGGCTATACTGACATTGTGGATCAAGACAGTGAGAGCCAGGACCTCTCTGGACAAGCATTTTAAAGTCCCCTCCCCTAAACTACAAGCCCCAGAAGTCTGCAGGAGGCAGTCATAGGATTTAAGTTGAGATTCATACTCTTTGCCTACTCTTTCAGCTCTAGTGTGATACTGGCTACTCCACTAACAGTACTAGCCAGCTAGAAGGCTAGGAGGGAGAGGGGGAGAGAGGCGCTGCTTGGGCCCCACGCTTGGGGCCCGCGACACCTCTACCACCTCTTCAGTGTCCCCTTTCTACTTAAATTCTTTTTTTAAACCCACAAAACAATGAGTCTGTGATAAGCAAACCGTGAAGTAGCGCAGAAACACTGTATAGCTTGATTCTTAGCCTTTGAATACCAGTTTGATGTTCAGAAACCAGCAGGTTGAAATTTCCAGAACTTGGCAAGAAATATAATTTACTATAAACCTCAGGAGAGAATGCTTCTGGAGCATGGGCATACAGCTCAAAAAACTTGCAACAACCCAATTTACTATCAGTGAATTCCTTTTTCTGCTAAAGCCACATCCCCAGTAACTCCCAGAAAGATTGGCAATTATCCCAGCCAGATGACCCTGGGAAAGTAACAAACAGCGCATGTTGGCTATTATGTCATGATAGCATCCTCTACATCCAGCAATCATAATAGTTATTTTACTTGATAGTACTGCTGGCTCTCATTCTGCTTTAAGAATTTAAGATCTTTATAAAAAATGCTTGAGAAGAGGTGCATGCTAGCCCTGCCTTCCATCCTGAAATATTCAGATCACTCTTTTCAAATGGAGAAAGGTTTTCTGAAATAGTCGATCTCTTTTGTTTGGGGAAGTCTCTTCACACAGTTTGGGACCACGAATAATCAGTTTTCCAAATTTCACAGAGATCTTCTGGACTTGATCACCTTTCATGTGTAGAAGGCAATAAAATATGTAAGGAGTATATGGCGATAGCATGCATCCAGTCCTACTTTTCATATATTTATTATAGACATACTATTTGCAATGGGTCTTCATCACATCTTGAAACAGTGAGAACACTCTTGAGAATTATGCATCGTATAAAAGTGTACACTGTACATTTACCTTCTTACTGGAGGAAGTGGTCTTACTAGGATTTTGCTAGGGCTTCCAGACAATTCTGTAATATGCTTCCAATGGAAGCTGTCTCAGAGTTGCAGTGGATACTTCTCTAAGAATCTCTAGATCCTCCATCGCAGCTTTATTTTATGCTAGGAGTGGAAGTCAAGCAATTTAATGATGTTTAGTTATTGCCACCAATTCAGGCAATCTGGATGGGAATGCAACTTCCATGGATATGTGGGTCTTACTCTACTTCATTGTGTTTGTCCTGAATATATTTCCCAAACCACAATGAATTAACCTAACATCCTTGGTGTCTAGAAGTCCTACTGTTGTCGAACATGACACTCCCTACCACAAAAGAATTTATAATTCTCCTAGGACATGCAAGCAGGCTCTGTGAGGCCTCCATGACCCCGTAACAGGCCAGCAGCCGCCAATGCCCCTCAATGACCGGTTTCCAACTTTTATATATTTCTATTACAATTCATAAACATATGTTGATTCATCCTGGCAAACAATTAACAGCAAATCTCTTATACAATACACCCAAACTTACATTTTTGATAAAATGTTTCCTATCCCTCCTCAAATGTGTCAATTTCCATCTGCTTTTATCCCTGCCCATCCTCCCTCACATGTTTCCCCCCATAATCCTATGCCTATATGCCTACCTATGTCTGCATACTTGCGCATGAGCAGATCCATAACAAAAATATCAAAACAATGTTTTTAATCTCTTAAATTAAACATAGCTATATGATCTGATTAGACTGTACCCTTCCTCCTTATTTCGTAGTTTATGAAATGTATTAGTCAAATATGATTTCTGCACAAAGCCAGGCATCAAGGTCACCGTCCRTTGCCAATCCCYCTGAGYAATTTRCCGAGACACCTGGAATGGCATGTCTRGAGTCAAAGGTGACAATCAAGATCCATTATGTCCACAGACTGGACAACAGGTGATTTCCTCTGKAAAATTTGATAACTGCCTGCTCACCAGCTGATWATTTCTATTAAGCTGACCATGATAAGTAGGAACTCCAAGGATACATGRATATTGGATCRCTTTGTCTGACATCKAAGGCAGGATTAAAGGGGGTCYTCACCTTTTGTCTCAGGGCACCTCAACCTCACCTTTCCCAGGAAACTTCCTCCTCACKCAACATCAGGACAATTAATAACAKTCAAATACTTGTTTGCATCCCTGGTGGGGGGGGGGGGCTCACAGACTTTTCCAGGGCTTGCCTCCTCTCAAGAATCCTGCCCCTCAACAGCTGATTGGCCTTCCCTGGGCCAATCCCCCTCCATCTCCTCCCCTCCACCAGGGAATCCCCACCTGGGGGCAGCAACACCGTCAAAGCAGTGACCAATGGAAGTGTGGCTCCTAGCCTATTCTACTGCTAGCCAATCAGGGAAGGAAGCAGATGGAGTGGGAAGTTTTGAATAGCTGTCAAATGTATAACGTCTTACACCTTTTGTATCCATGTTATGCATGTATTTTTGACATTAGCCTTACACATATCCCTTCTGGCCGGATTGCGAATAAAACTCTGTTGCTGCTTTCAACCTTGGTGAGTGTGTTTTTGATTGGGAAATATCCGGATTACCGTAACGCTTGCCAGGCAGACCAGCTATAGCCGTGGTCCTTACTCTAAATTCAACCACATTACTTTCTTATTCTCAAAGGCCTGTCTTGGGAGTAGGAGTGGAAGCCAACCTCCTCAAAAACTAAACAACTTGGAGTTGGATAGATTGGCCTTTTCCAGCTCTACGATTTAGGATTCTATGGTGAATATCCTTACATATACACACACTGATTTTCAAATGTTGGCAAGTATGGAAATTGTATAGCTTGAATCACAATTCATGTTCTCATTAGTTGCAGGGCACCTAGAACATCTATTCCTATCCCAGCATGGTCCTGGGGTATGAAGAATGAAGATCTTAGAAACATAACCCTTTTGAATTACAGGTTCCAAGGTCCCCCTAGCTAGCACAACTGACCTCTGTGACTGAGAAAACTGGGAGTTGTAGTCCAAGAATAAACTTTTCCATGCTTGGAAGGAAAGTAATTTAGCTTTCTAGCAGAATCATCTGCTTAGCTGAGTAAACTTGCTCTCCAACTCAGAAAAAACTAGACAAAATGCTGAAGAACTGCAGCTAGGAATGCACTGTGGAGTAAACAGAAGCTAGCAGGCCCTTTCTAAGTGCGGGTCACAGGGCTATGTTTGTGTCTGACTAGCTCTCATCCATTCTAGCCACAAAAGCACCAATAGGCCCTTAGGGGTTGGCAGAAAGGTTACTTGGAAATCTCCCAAGGAGGGGTGAGGATTCCGCTATTGCCATGCAATTCCTTCAGTTAATTCTAACAAACTGAAAAGGCAGAACTTCATATCCCACACAGTTTGACTTAGTGTTCCTGAAGTGTTGAAAGATACCATCCCATTTAAGTCAGATTCAACTGCATATTCCACAATGAGGAAGGGGCCCAAATTGTTCTTTACTTTGGGTAGTGAAAACCAGTCCTGTTTTTAAGTAAATGTAGATTTACTATCATGCCGGGTTAGCCCACTGCCTCAACACAAGCATCTGTGGTTTAGTCAAGAGGAGAAATTGGGGGAGCACACAACAGCCAGGGAGGGGAGAACCAATATGTGGTAATGGGTAAAAGTGCTAATTCAATGCAGCTGTGTGGCCGGCAGACAAGAATGCTGTCATCCCCCTATGGGGCTAGTTGCTAGGGGCTGTACAGGTCCAGGTATCCAGTATTCACCACCACAATGCAAGAAAAAGCAGTAGAGGATGGAAAAGTGGACTTACCTCAACCAGGATCAGAGGATGTATTGGCAAAGGTGCCCAAACCATGAGCAGCAGCAGTAGCAACAGCATCTGGCACTCACCAGCTGGGGAAGGGGAGAAAAACCACAGGGGAAACAGGATGAGGATAGAGAAACAGCAAAGTTATTCCTCTTCTAATAGAAACTGTCCTTCATCCAGCAATTGTGTTCCTAGTACAGCAACTCCAGCAGACTTCCCACATTCGGGTGTGACATCAGGGCATTGGCATGCAGGATGCCAACTAAAACACCACCAGTCAGCTCGCCAGGGAGTTCAAAGGTGTATGCATGTGCCCAGTGGGTTTGTGAGAGAGAATGAGGTGCAAGTAGGTGTGTGTCTGAGAGAGAGAAAGCAAAAATAAGAGAGAAAGAATGCTCCTGTTTGCATGGAGAAGCATTTACCACTCCCTCTGTGAGTGAGAGTCTGTACGTGTGTGGCTGTGTGTGCAAGCAAGCCTTGCCAGCAGTATTCCTCCATGTGGGAGTGTCTGTTTCTATGGGTGTGTGTCTCCGAGAGGCTGTCTTTGGCTCTGGTGTTTGGAGTTGCTCTCTTCGGAAAGAGATCAAGTTTGCTGAATCTGACAGAAGCTGCTGGGAGTGACTGGGGGAGGTTCACTCTTCTTGCACACAATTAAAACAGATGATCACCAAGGCAAGTTGTACATGTGTATGAAATCGGCATGGGTGTCTCCCCACTCTCTTTGTCTCTTTCTGTAAGAGTTAAAGAAACAGCAGAAACAGCATTAACCTACTGGAAGTCTTTCTTTGTTCCAGGAAACTCAAAGGTCCAGAATAAAAGTTCATTGCAACAGTTTGAAGAACACAGGTACCCCAAGCCTCTGACACAAAGAGCAGCTGGTATCTCAAACTTGCCTGGAAAGGAGATTGTTTTGAATGCATTTGTTTTTATGGCATTCCAGTGAAAAGAGGCGATTTACGGTACTGTTTTTAAGAGCCATTACGTAATGATTTGGACTCATTATGGGGTTCTGAGTTATTAGATCAATAAAGTCTTCTGAGTCTGGACTCATTTTCATGGCAACCTGTTAGCAAACATTGTCCCTCAAACTGATGATGTAAATGAGTTTGGTCTGAACTAACAAGTGTCACGCTAGGAAAGTGATATTTCAAACACTGCTGAGATCTCCAGGGTAAAATTAAAAAATTCTTGGTGTAGATGAGTTAAAAACTGCAAACTGCACAGCAACAAGCTGTTTCCTGCAAGGGTTTTCTGATAATCTTTTCTCCCCCTCACACACTCATGCACAAACACCAACATGCATATGTGATTTTTACTCTCAAAACTTTAAAGTTGTTTCACTATGGAATTCAGAGTTTCAGACAGATTTTGACATATTTCTAGTTATCAATATTAAAAATTAATATTAAATACTTTCATCTTTAAACAGATATCAACAAAGCCTCTTCATTGAATTAAATTCCCTTGAAATACATTTATTTTATAGAGTCTTGAGCTTAGTTCTTCCCACTTATGGGAGTGGGGAAGAATTATAGGGGTTAATAATTCTCACATAGAAGCCCCCAGTGGTGCAGTGAGTTGAAGCACTGAGCTGCTGAACTTGCTGATCAAAAGGTCACAGGTTCAAATCCAGGGAGCAGTGTGAGCTCCCACTGTTAGCCCCAGCTTATCTAATTCTCACTGCTACTGGATTCAGAGCTGGGCACATAAAACTAGGTTTGCAGAAGTGGACTTCTCCCTTCGCCTCACAGCCCCCTTCCAACTCCCTGAAAATGTTCTGGGATGTGCAGTTTAAAATTCTTAACCAGAGAGTTCTTGGGATTTTGAAATATCCCATTTCCTACTTCATAAGCTAGATGGTGTGAGATACCTGTGGACAAACATGTAAACAAATGAGTGGGGCAGGTGAGTTTGAACAGTAACAAGAATGCAAAATAGTAACAGAAATGCAAAACACATCGGTAGGGTAATGAGGTGGCAAGTTCAGTTTCAACAAGGGTCATATAGAATAATTAGGGGATAAAGATGTGAGCCCAGATAGGTTAATAAACATATGAATACAAGTTCCGTATCTGTTGTGTTGTATGGGTTCTGGTCCAGAAAAGATATGTTAAAAAGTGGGCATTAGAACCTGCTACTTTTTGCCTGCTCACTGGTGTTATAGTTCTTGTGGTTTGCCAGAAACCAGAGTTTCTGTTCAAACCACTATCAATGGACTGGAGTTTACACACAAATCCTAATTAGCTTCTGATTAATTTTTGTTTTTCTTTTGGAACCCAGGGCAAGGTAGACAGCCCTGCAAGGAAGATACATATTACTTTGTTTACCCTCAACTGGAAACTAGTTCCTTGCTTATAATTTTCTGGGACAATAAGCAATCATTGTGTATATATCATAGGGATGAGATCTGGCGTGGGTGGCAGAATAGAAATGTGAAGACAGCCTGTATGCCAATAAAGAAACTTTGATGAAGGGGATGGCATTAGGAAATGAGAGGAAGAGTTGTAGGAAGAATTTGTCATACTCTTTTGGTAGTTCTGTGTTTTTAAATGCATTGCTGTCGTTCTTGACTGAATAGGCTTTAAAAAAGAAAAAGCACCCTACACTTTGTGATAAATTAAGGAGTGATAGAAAATTAAATAGCATTCTCTGCTGGGTTGTGCTATTTCCAAAACACTGTCTCTTCTGCTCCTTTCCTCCGTTTCTTTTCCTTGAAGTTTATCACTTGGACTCCGCAAGTGAGCCTAGAGTCACTTGCAGAGAGTAAGCCCAATGGTGAAGGAGTCCTACAAGGATGTGGTTAGTCATCCTTAGTAATTGGCTTGCTCTGCTGGATGATGGGAAAATCAAAAGGCCTGCTGCTCTGTGGGGAAGGGGATGGATATTTTTGCCACTGGACAGAACAGAAGACAGGAGGCCAGCTGGCTCTTGGAGGGGAGGCTATTTGGAAAGGCTCTTTTCCAGGCGTCCGCGGTTGCAGACTCAGGCTTTGCATTTCCTTTTGAATTGGGGGTTGCTGCCAGCTTTAGTTCCAATCTAGGCAGATCCCAGCCATGAAAGTGCACAGTAAACACACTTTTGCTGTGGCAAAGACACAAATAAGCAGGATAAACCCAACGTTAACCAACAGCCACAGGATAAGTGAATGTGGAGGAGAACAGGAGAATGACTAACCAGAGCATGCTTCAGAAAAGAAGTATTATTCCAGTTTACTGAAAAATGGACTGATAAACAGAGTTGTAGAGGAAATCAGTGAGTGTCATCTTTAATGGTTAGAGTAACACTGTAACATGGGGATCAAGATTTTAGTTGGCAGTATGCACTCAAACTTTCTGGGTGACTGTGGCCTTGTCATTTTGAATTTGGCTTGTCATTTTGTGGTGAGCATAAAGTAGGAAGGATAATAGCTATGTATGTATTGTCGAAGGCTTTCATGGCTGGAATGAAAGGGTTGTTGTAGGTTTTTCAGGCTATATGGCCATGTTCTAGAGTAGGGGTCCTCAAACTAAAGCCCGGGTGCCGATTACGGCCCTCCAAAGTAATTTACCCGGCCCTCACCCAGGGTCAACCTAAGTCTGAAATGACTTGAAAGCACACAACAACAACAACAACAACATCCTATCTCACCAGCCAAAAGCAGGCCCATACTTCCCATTGAAATACTAATAAGTTTATATTTGTAAAATTGTTCTTCATTTTAATTATTGTATTGTTTTTAAGTGTTTTTTTGCACTACAAATAAGGTATGTGCAGTGTGCATAGGAATTCATTCATGTTTTTTAAAAAAATTATAATCTGGCCCTCCAACAGTTTGAGAGACTGTGGCCTGGCCCTCTGTTTTAAAAGTTTGAGGACCCGTGTTCTAGAGGCATTCTCTCCTGATGCATCTATGGCAAGCATCCTCAGAGGTTGTGAGAACTCTAGCATTACCCAATACAGAAATTCTAGTTTGTGTTCTAGTTTGTGAGGCCAAGTAAGAATACTGTCCTCTCATCTTCATAGCTGCATCTCTTCATTTAGCAGGTATAGTTATTGTTCAACTGCTATGTTTGTTTGTTTGTTTATGTATTTATTCAATCCTGTTTAGACTCCAATGACTTTAATTTGGCATACATAGACCTCACAACCTCTGAGGATGCTTGCCATAGATGCATCAGGAGAGAATGCCTCTAGAACACGGGTCCTCAAACTTTCAAAACAGAGGGCCAGGCCACTTTGGAGGGCCGTATCCGGCCCCCGGGCTTTAGTTTGAGGACCCCTGCACTAGATTCTTTGTGAAGCAATGTTTTTTGGTTTTTACAATTATTGTTTTTTTATTACGATTTGTTTTATGATACAATACTTATATTGTTTATTTATTGTTCAATTTATTGCTTATTGCTTATTGTTTTTGAAGCATCAAATGGCTGCCTTCATGTTGCAAGTCGCTCTGAGTCCCCATGGGGAGATGAGGCAGGATATAAATAAAGTTTGATTGATTGATGATTGATAATGTAAATTGTCTCTAGTTCCATCTGAATCTTCTTTTGAGCAAGATAAATATAGTAAATAAATAAATAAACATGACCTCCTTCTTGTCTCTTCTTTAACCCTGTTTCACTGTTTAGGCCTGTCTGCTTATTTCATTCTTGAGGCTGCCTTTTTATTTACTCTTTCAGTCTGTTCCTACAGCCATGATCTTGACTTTCTCCACATTTCCTGGCTTTGAGCTGTTTGAGTTGTCAACAGCAGAGCTCTGGCGCTCACATACATTTAATCAACAACTAGAAACTCATGGAATTTATCCATGGTTCTTTGGCTTTCCACCATTTTAGAAAGCATTTTCCTAAAACAAATGTAAATCAAATGGCCAAGAGGAAATTCAGCAATTCATGGGCACAGTTGAAACCTAATGGGGCTGTAGCTCAGCTGTGGTGAATATGTGGCCCTCCACATCTTGTTGGGCTTTGCTTTCATCAGCCTCAGTCATGGTGATGAATGATAGTTGCTGTTCAAGAATTTCTAGAGGTACGTGTTTCTGATCCCTAATATAATGCTAGAACTAAAAAATGAGGCCTATGGTTTCTCCCAGGCAGAGCAAATAATGATAAATGATGAAGCACTGTTTGGCAGCTGAGGTTAGGAAGGGCCTTAGGGAAGTGTTGTGTCAGAGACTAGTGATATGAGCAATTACGAGCCTCCTCATATGACAGATATTGATTGCTGCTACCTGGGTGGAATCAACAAAACAAGTGTGATGGTAACACTTGGAGATTTTCACTGCACACACTTACTGTGTGCACTGTATAGAAATTCACTTATCTATCTTAACATTGAATTCTGAACCTGAAAGGCTGGCTGCCTATGCAAAAATACCCAGTTCTTCAATATACTTCTGCCTGATACTATTTAAAATCATAATGTAATTATTACAAGATTGAAATCAGTTCTATATTGAAGGGAGACATTTCCAGGCAGGACTGGGCCAAGATGTTTTGCTATTTCAAGTTAAGAACAAAAAGATGTTGTTCCTACGCCTAGGGCACATACAGACTCCAACTGGACTGGCAGTTGAATTTTACATTGGTAAAATTTAGGTGCTGTTATTTCACTTGAAAACAACATCCCACTACACATACAGGTCTGTCCAGTGATACTTAGTTGCCACTCCCCAAATACCAGAGTATGTAGTCAGCATTTCATTCTACCAAATGATAGTGCCATCCCCTTTCACTCTCCTCTCTTTTCCACTGTTTTGCTAAGATACTGCTGCACTTCTGGTTGCTGTGGTCTTGTTTTTAAATGCCTCCCCTGGCCCTTTCATATTTTTATATTACACAACTGCTAAATGATACCAACTACAAGTTTAACTCACTGGGCAACTCTAAGTAAACTTATCATCTTTAGGTATTCATCTGGAATATGAGCATATTAATGTAGGCCTATATTAACGTAGGTGATTATAGGGATTCATGTCATAATGCATGTGAAGTCTTGTCAACAGAGTGTGTAATGTGTAAAGAAATACAGGAATAAGATGCCTAAACTAAAATGGGCATAACTACAAATAAGTCATTCACATAACATCTTTATTTTTTTCCTGATGTGTACAGCTGCACAGCTACAAGCAAAAAAGCACAAACTAATAGAGATAGAAAGATGCTGGCTTTTGAGTGTCCTGGCCCTGACCAGTGCTAAATGGAGCCAAGTTGGCAGCAGTGCAGATGTGTTGCCTTTCTCTACATGCAAAGTAAAAAAACTGAGCAAATCTAGACAACATAGTTGCCCTATTCCAGTTCCTAAGCTGGTGAAAAATGCACAACTCCTTGACTGTCATGTGAGAAGAGATGACAACAGGACAATAGAAGGACAATGAACTTGTGGAAGCCAACCTCTTCCTCTGCTCCCTGTGGCTTCAAGCAGAGTTGGACTCAAAACCAAGCTCAGGAGGTTTCTCCACCCAATGTCTGGAACAAGGCCTGGAAACAGGGGCTGCCTGCCGAGTCATCACATTTTCCATAGAGTGGTAGAAAACACTGCAGGGAGCAGGGTATGTGAGTGGGATTGGGGGTTGGAGATGCTAGAGAGCACATTGTAATTGGAAACAGAAAAGGCAGCAGGCTGAGACACTAGCTGCAGAAAGGAAAACCCTGAAGTCTTCACAATATTTCAGACATCCACTATAGGAACAGCTGTGAGATGCTTGGTGCATAGCTTTGGAGGAGGGAGTCCTACATACAGGATTTGCTAGGACTAAAGAACACGACAAGACAATCTTCTTGTTCATATGGTATTTTAAAGAAAGGTAGTGATGGAAGAACTGCGGAAGAGAAGTGGAGGGCCTTTCTGAAGGTTTTAATCTTTCAGACATGAGCTAATGTGAATTTCTGTATCTATGGCAGGCAAAATGTCAGGAGAGAATGCTTCTGGAACATGGCCATACAGCCCGGAAAACTTACAGCAACCCAGTTCTTAAAAATTGCTGACTAGATATTGAAATTGAAGTCAGGACTGCTGTCCCTTAAACATTAGGCAAAACAAGAATTTGGGGCAGGTAAGTGTTCTCATGAAGGAGAGAAGGATGCTGCCATTGTTGAAATGCTGTCTGTTCATGACTGCAGGCTCGTAGCCAAGAGTGCAGGATGGAGCCCTGGCCACTCTAAATGTGTTGCTGGCTTCCTTCAGAACAACCATTGTCTTACTTGGTCATGTTATCCTGCCTGTGTTTATTTTAATATCCTGGTGGAGCATATAATAATGCATAACTATGGTACTCCACCTACATTTTTCTTAATTATGCTGTCCTTCCTTATTATAATCAAGCCAGTCCATCACAACATCTTTTGTTACAACTGTCAAAAGCAGAGGGACTCATCTCTGCTTCTCGCAGCACCTTTTCATCATGAAGTTATAAGACTGGCAAGCTCCTTCCCAATTTCTATCCCAAGCAAGCTTCACATTTAGATGCATGTGGTCTACCAAGTCTGTGTAGGTACCTCTTCAGCCGCACCATTTCCAGATTGTCTGTACCAACATCTGATAGTACACAAAGTATAGATGCCAAACAGGTTAAACAAGTTTCCAGGAAGCCATAGAACACCAACTCAGTCCTCTAATAAGGCCATGCACTGTTTCCCATAGCTTCAGCCATGCAGGAATCAAGTTTCTTTCTAAGCTAAGCAGCAGAGAGACTGTAAAGCCCACACCTGTGCATTGTTATAAAAGCAATCTATTGTTCTGCACACAAAAAAGAAAAAAGAATAATGTGGCTCCACCTTGAAGACTAACAGATTTAGTCTAGCAGGCACTTCCACTGCTTACACTTAACTTCCTTTTCTGTCCCTGTTATGTGTGACCTGCACCCTGGTTTAGTCTCAATTTTAACCCTGACTGTGAGCAAGTGTGTTGATGTTTTTGTTCTTTTTGTTTGTTTTGAAGGAACATTTTTTTTACACCCTGAAAACATGAGCACATATGCACCACTTTGTATCATTTGCTTCAGATTGGTATAGACAGAGGGTGTGTATGTGTTTTACTTAGCAAGAAAAAATGGGGCCAAATACAAAGGTGCTGCTATTTTGGGGCAATCCCTGGGACTGGATCATTCTGTCTGTCTATCTTGGGGAAATCTTTTCCTGTGTTTGCTGCTTCCAGCAAATCAAACTCTATGCCTTCCACTGCAATATTTTTCAAGGATGCAACTGTCCTTTGTACCAAAGTCTGAAGAGTGAACCGAGGGTCAGGAAATCTCCACAAGCTCCTTCAGACTGTTTGACCATTTGAAAATAAATGCAGTACCTGGGAGTACCTCCAGTAGAAGTCAATGAGACTTGCTCTTGAGCGGACATATAACATGTTACAAATAAACAATTTAACCAGATATTAAAATCTTCACATATGCTCATCCCAAGACAATATCAGATTTCATGATGATGAAAGATCTATGTATGTACTAGCATACTCCATCCATCAGTTTTATACTGGTTCAGTTAAGACTAGTTCAGACTTGGACTAAAATGCTAACCTGTTATGTCAGGAGCTGACTTGAATCAAAAATAACCTGAAGCATATTCAGAAGATCATGCTACCCTATACAGGAGGAGGAGGCTCAGTCCAGAATCAATGGATGTTGTCCCAGCTATCCATGAAAGATGTAACACAGCAAACATAGTAACTAGTATAAGCCTTTTCCCAATCTTCCCCCACTGCTGATTTCTCTTTTGGAACACCTACCTGTTCTTGCTGTACTTCTCCGATATTCACCTTGCAAAGGCTCTCCTGGCTGTGCAATGAACAGACATGGCTGCTTCTGGCACATACAGCCTCCTGTCTGCTTTCTCAATTATGTACAGCGCACAGCTAGCAAGTCCCAGCTGGCCTTTGAAGGTTGCTTGCTTAAACGTGTCCAAATCCCTTTCTCCAAAGTTCCCTGCTGAAGAGGGAATCGGCACCTAAGACCTGCACTGGGAGAAAACAGGGAGTGGTTTTAAGTTGTTTGCAGCTCTGTCCCAAATGATGTGCTTCCAAACAACCATCTGCACATAGCCTTCATCTACTTCCGCTTGGAAGAGAAATTTCTTTTGTTCTCATATTTGTTCTTATTCTTTTGTTCCTGAACATAGACACAGTATATCTTTGAATGTGTTGGCTAGGGATGGTGGAAACTTTGGTTCAGTACTTCTGGAGGGTGCTAATCCAGATAACCCTACAGAGGCAAAGTGCCAGATACTGCCCAGCCTTAGCTGCAGGAAAAAATTATTGAGATTCTACTGAAAACATTGGTTGCAGGTGAAATGGAAACCGAGTATCTTTCTAGAGGAATCGTGTGTCACAAGACATAATTGCACAGTCATGCTGAGTGATGCTTCTCCCATTAAAGGTCTGGTGAATGTCTTCATAAACCTTGTGGGATCCAGAATGTAAATGATTATACTCCCCTAGAAGGGACAACACATCATTCTTATGGGGACTCTTGCTTTCCACACCTTTATTCTCATTTCCTGTGCCCTGCTACAGTACACTGCTGATACCCAAATGGACATGGTGGTGCTGGGTTTGGTTCTCATTCATATTCAGTGAATATTGTGGCCATTGTGCCAGCCTCAAACCTGTTCCTGGGGTGTTTAATTCCACTTCCTAACTTGGATTTAGAGCCTGAATAGAACCGCCCCAGGTAATTTTTTCTTCAGCTGCCTTGAATATATGATGATGAAAAGCTTGTGGGTCAACAGAAGTCAGAATCAGAAAATCAGAATTCCTGACTGGGAACTTGCAAAACAAGGTTGGAGAAGCTATAGCTCTCTTGAGGTTGTCCAATAAGTCCCATGTAGCCTGGCAGTGGTAGTGCATGATGGGATATACTATCCCATTAACCCAACAGGCTTCCTTTAGGTGAAGTGAAAGATGCCATCTGCCATTGTCAGTGCCGTAGGAGGACAGCACAGCACCACTTGTTCAGTTACTTCATGTTTCTGGATCAGGATGCAAGCACTGCCTCCTTAATTTCATGCCGCAAAATACTTGAGGTGAATCTGTCATCCCTCCTTTGGAAAAATGTATGTAACCTGATCTACTAGGAAATGGAAATATTGTTAAATTAGAACTCTTGAGAAGGTTATGGGGAATTGTGCCCTCTTGTGGTGCATAAGTATGGCGATTTAATATACAATTTGATATACCATGAGGAAGATGGTACATTGTCAATCACAGTAAAGAGCCCTTTATTTTTCTTTCTACTCTCATGAAAGTGCTGATCAAAGCTTGGGATCCCATTGAATTGACACGTTGCAGCGAAAATGTGGTGGTGGGGGGAATTTACCTTTATGTGAAGGTAAACTGCTATTGTCAGAAGATATCAGAAGGCTTGATAGGTTTAAGTCGGAAAAGTGAAGAGTAATGTGGAAAGAAAGAGAAAACAATTAACCACAGGGAAAATAAAATATTAATATGTAATAATAATAATAATAATAATAGGGTTACTGTGATATTTTTGGGATGTATGGCCATGTTCCAGTGGACTTGGAAAAATATTGCCAAGAAAATCGTTCAATAGTTTCACCTTAGAGTCTGCCTAGGTTGGAAACAATTTGGAAACACACAACAAAAATCCTACTTAGGAAACAAATATTTTTGTTTCACTTCTTCTTTCTTCTTCCTAAGAAGATGTATCATTCACTGAAGCAGCTTCATCATATTCTGTTTGTGTGCACATGTGAAAAAAGACAGGAAGAGAGAATTTTGCCCAAGATTTTGTGCACTCTCCTTCAAATACAATTGTGGGAAACCCAAATTTTGCCAACGTTTCACAACTGAATCTTAAAATTTGTATAAAAGATCGTAGTGAGCTGGCCCTCTTATCCCAGGATCTCATGTCCTTCTTTGCATTGTGGCTCAATGCTATGGAATCCTGGAATCTGTAGTTTGCTGAGGCACTAACACTCTTTGGCATAGAAGGCTAAAGACTTTATAAAACTAAAGTTCCCATGATTACATAGCATTGAGCCATGTCAGTTAAAGTGGTGTCAAACTGCAATAATTCTACAATGAACATACAACCATACAAAAGGGATGGGTTAAATTGGTGATTTTGATACTTTTCATCAATAGTTTGACAGTTTGAAGCTGGAAAACATGTGGAGGCAACAATCAGACTAGGGAAGTTACTTTTCCTCTGTTGCTAAATTGCTTGCACAATTTTTAAGGTTTTGTAGTAATAGGGAGGGAAAGATCAGTCTTGCACACCATGATTTTTTTTCTTGCTTCCTTGAAATTCCATCTTCTATTGGACTTGGAATTAGCTGTTCTGGGTCTATTCTATCTTTGTGTGTAAGGAATGTTTAACCCCAGCAGCTAAATACTGCTGTGTTGCGTTACATCTACCATCGTTGTAATAGAAGTGCCTTGGGGTTTATTCTACCTTTGCGTGCATGGAATGTGGGTTCTGTTATGTTACATCCACATCATTCTTGACCACCAAAAATTATCTTCAAACAGTAACAGGTGGCACCAAATAAAGGCTTAAGGAGCCCTGGAGTGACACCCAGTTCCAGAATAAAAAAACCATTTGTATTCTTTTTCTTATTTTAAATAATGTTCTCTATAATTTTTACTTCTTTTCAATTTTTCTAGTCTTTCTAAGTAAGGGTGAGCAAGCAGAAATCTATATAAGATGGAGGAGCTTGGTACATCTCTACCTTGTGGACCTCAGCAACTCCAAATAAGAAGCAGATATTGACCACACACATTCAAGCATATCTTTCCATAAACAAGAGCTAGAAACTTATTTTTTCCTGCCAAACTTCTTGGATTTCTTGGTTTCCGCACCTTGTTTTCTATGCTCCTGAATAATTGTAACAAATACACAACTTTTGTCACACCAAAATTCCCAACTATATGGTCTACAGTGGGAATGAGCAAAATTGTGGCCTGTGGACATTGATTTGAAGTCCCCCAAAATGTGATGCAGAGGGCATTTTAATCATGTTTGGAGACCCAGTGGACCTCCAAGGGGCCCAAAACCATTTTCTCAATGAGATGTTTTACTTCAGAATGCCTAGAAATGCCCTCTAGGAGCTAGGGAGTTCCCAAAATACACCCCCATGTTTCCTAGGGCTTTAGGGTGCATTTGGAGAAAAGGTGTTTTCTGAGGGAGCAAGTACGGTGGGGAGACATTCCTCCAGGGCCTCCCTTAGTCTTCTTAAAGAGTGTAAATTTGTGACATAGTGAATGAAATATTGGACCAAATGAGGCACAACTGGTTTACAATTCGTTGGATTTGAAATGAATGCCATGCAAAACTATATGCTGATCAATTGATTCTTTCTAAGCCTGACAGGACTACTTTTTTCTAGCACTTGAAGAAGCCAATTGTCATTCTGGATATCCAGAACAAGGAGGAAGAGGGAGGAAGGAGGAGGAAAAGAATGCAGAAGAAGTATTTAGCTACCAGCTTATCTCTGCCTACTCTCACTACGCTTCTGTCTGGTAGCCTTCTTCTGAAATGGATACAGGTTCAACAGAGTGTCCCTCTCACTACATCCACCAGATGGTACTGCTGAGGCCACCAAATGGAGACAAAGCAGTGCTTCCATTTTGCTGAACTGCTGGATCACACAGCATAAGAAATGATTTTCACTATGGATGTAGATTCTTAAGAACATAGAATGTTTCGGGAATTAGTTTTCCCCTTATGCTTCTCATGTATTATACACACACATGTGAAAGACAATAACACTCACTTACAATCCAACTGTCTCATTTGACAAGAAGGCACATTCCTAAAAGACAGTGCACATAAAAAA